TACAATACTTGAACTAAACGGCGTCACCGCTTCCGGCGTCGGTTGTCGTTTCCTCCATGAAATGGCAGTCCGGAGCTATGTTGACTTCTTGTGTTCTTAGATGGGACTTCAACCACTCATGGAAGCAAACGAGTGTCTCGAGAGATGAAGCGCTCAACCTCGTTCTATAGTCAGTTAAAACGTTATCGGCTTCGCTAAACTCTTGTTCCACGACAACAGTTGAAACCGACATCGACAACACTTGTTTGGCCATTTTTTATAAAACCGGAAACATCCCTTCGTGTTTCTTCAACCATTGGAGAATATCAAAGTCCTCCACTTCATTATACTCAACAAGAAAAGTTAGATATAAAGAGAGCTCGTTAATCAAGCTTTAAGCAACGGCAGGAGTTGATTTACTTTTTTTCAAAAGAGTAGATATTGTTGATTTTAAAAAAAAACTTTTCCTTTAGATGAGGAAGCACTCGGTAATGGGGGAGGGGGTGCATTACCATATTGTGCATGAAACTCATTAAATAAAGCGTGAAATAAATTACTAACCTCATTGAATTGGGCTTGAGGATCTATAGGTGTCTTCGTACATAGGGAATGGACCGTAGAAAGCAATATAATAGTATTCTAAAAATGTTTTATAATGCGAAAGTTTGAAATGGAGATCAAGACAGGAAGCAATAGAATAAATATGTGGAATGTAGGCATAATTTTTTTAAAAAAAATCTTTCATGAAATCACAAAAATAATGTACCTAAGCAGCTTGAGAAAGTTCTTGAAAAGCACCGGCGAGATTAACAGCTTCTATAAAAAATTGGTTGTTAGTTGGTTTATACACATGAGAAAAAAATTGAGTAGCGTTGTTAAAATAAACTAAATCATTGCAAATCTTTTGCATTGTGTCGATCTCAACAGGTTCTATGATATAATTACATGTTTCTTTCATGAAAGTAGGAAAATGATCTTTATATGTAAGAAGCACAAGAATTAAATTATAAGTATTGTTCCAACGAATAGAAAGATCTTTAGGAAAAACATAATATCTTACACCTTTCGACTTCAAATAAGCTCGTCATTGCATTTTAAGTGGATTACTAGCCCAAATCATTCTAATATATAGCATCTTTAACCTTCTCCATCACATTTCCTAATTCGGCTAAGCCGTCTTTCACACATAAATTAATAATATGACATGCACAATGTTGATGAAAAATCCCCATCAAGGTAGACGGACCACATAATTCACGCAATCTAGGTATAGCAACAGTATTGTTAGTAGCATTATAAAAAATAATAGGAAACACCTTATCAACTAAAATACGTTCCATGAGAATATAGATATTATCACTCGTGTGTCTTTCATTAAAATCTCAAAAAGCGATAACATGTTTATGCATTTGCCCATCATCATCAATCCAATGTGCAGTAACACTCAAATAATACAAGTGATGATAAGTATCTTCCCATATATCACTACAAACAGTCACACGCCCATTAAAGTTTGCAAAAAATTGAATTAAATTTTCCTTTTCCAAAAGATATTGTTTAATAACTTGTTTTTTAATTGTTTTGCGGCTATAGTTTCGAAATTGTGAATTTAAAGAACATTGAGCGTAAGCACGTAAAGCAAGACTTTCACAAAAAATTAAAAGGTAAATTTTCTTCAACAATTAACCTCAGACATAGCTTTTAAATGTACCTCATCATTGTAATTTGTAAGAGATCCTCCTCGCCATGCTCCTCCTCATTCCCGCCTCCTCCTCCAGCATCCTCCTCCGCGTCATCGTCCTCCAACTCATCTTCATTGGTGGGGATGTTTTGTTTTTGGTAAAATTGGCCTTGATTTTGGCTCAAGAGCTGTGCTCATCGGTCATCGCATCTCTACGATCATAATCGATCGTCCAATCATCGCGTGATTGGGACGAAGATGTTGCCCCTTCTTGTCGTTTACCTTTCGATCGCCCCGACCGGCTCGAAGGACGACCTTTTGCAATCTCCTTTGATCGATTGCGTTGGAGATTATCTATATCAACGGATCTCCTAGGCCGGTCCATTGTCTTAAATATGTTACAAAAAATACAAATTACAAATTACAATGTCAAGATTACAAATTACAAATTACTAGCCCAAAATTTAACAAGAATTAAATTTTAATAAGTATTACTATGAAATAAAATGTACAATGATTACAATAAAGGGTCAAATAAGTCATCGAACTAACTTAAAAAGTGCAAATCACCCCTTACTTATATAGGAAGCTCTGTCCGGCCGTCGCCATTTGGGGCCGTTCCCGGTGGAATTTTTTTATTGAACTTTTTGAGAATCTTCTTCATTAACTCTAGTTTACTCATACCAAATTTCAGCTAAAAATTCAATCGGGAAGGCATTCAAATGAATCTTTGAATATAACTGCGCAGTTAAACAACACAGTACATTTCAGAAAATCATTTCACTATCTTCTCGGTTGAAGATATTGTAGAAGTATTTAATAATAAAGATTGAAAGAGTAGGAGTAGGAATGTAGAAATAGAAATTATATATATATATATATATATATATATATATATATATATATATATATATATATATATATATATATATATATATATATATATATATATATATATATATATATATATATATATATATATATATATATATATATATATATAGTACTATTGTGTAATTAACAAAAATGTAGGAAGTAGGAACTAGTTAATCACAAATGTATATAATTAAATATATGTGTTAAATATGAAAGTGTAGGAGTATATAAATATAATTGTAATGTAATATATTTAATAAGAAAGATTGAAAGAGTAGGAGTAGGAATGTAGAAATAGAAATTATAAATATTTATATAGTATTATTGTGTAATACTCCGTACTAAAATAAGTATATAAATATAATTATAATATGAGAATTGGAGAATATATGAATTATAAAAGAGGAAAGTGTAAATGTGAATAAAGTAGAATTAGTGATTGAGAAATTGAGAGTAGAATGTGAGTAGAAGTAGAATAGTGTAAAAATGTATAAAATGAGTAGATATGTATACGAAAAAGATTTGGTAACCCCCCACCCCACCCCCAAACCCCTCCCCAATGGCTATAATGTCGTTACTAGTCGTTCCAAACGGCTAGTTTTACCCCAGTCCCACCCCAACCCTAACCCCCTAATAAATTTTTAAAAAATGTATTTTAGCCGTTGGGACCAGAACCGGGACTGCCCGGTCCGGTCCCAAAAAATGCAACCAGGGACCGAGGTCGGAAATACCCAGTCGTTATCCGGTCCTAGAGTGGAACCGGAAAACCGGACCCGGTCTGGTCCCGCACAGTTGCGGGCCCCGTTTCGGTCCGGTTTGGGACCGTTGACCGGGTCCATGCCTAAGTGGATCAGCCAAGTGGATCAATAAACAATTAAGATTGAATCTCCTGACCAACGGAAGATATTTAACAACTGAGTCTATAAATACAGAAGTGCGTGAGAACTAAGTGTGGAGCTAAGAAGGAAAAAAGAGCTTATACGACATATCCAACAAAGGAGCAAAGTGTTGATCATCACTCGTGTTCTTAGTTCTCACCCCACTTCCCCTACTTTTTTATCATCAAAAGTTTAATCTTCTCAAAGTTTATATCTTTTCTTATAAAAATAGGTAACTGATACTCCCTCCGTCCCAAAAAGGTTGGCCAAAGTTGACTTTCACGTGGATTAATAAGGTAAAAACTGTGTGGTTGAAATTTGTACAGAGGGAATAAAATTAATTTTTACCACATATTCCTTACTTTATATGGAAATGACAAATCTTTTTGGGACATCCAAAAAAAGAAATTTAGTCAACCTTTTCGAGACGGTGGGAGTATGATTTTTTTTCAGTGCATGACTACTTTGTTGTTCCCAGGTTGCTGAAAGATCTAAGTATGATGTTAAAAAGGAAGAAAGAAGCCTTCAACCCCTCAAACTATATTGCATCAGTGCTTATACTGTGAAATCGGTGCATGGTGAGCACCATGCACCCTTTGTTATTTTTTATTTCTCCTTTTCTTAAAATTGTTAATAATTTTTTTATTTTTGATCCGATTTTTATAAAATTTATATCAACATTTTTTATTTTTCATGATCTTTCAAATGAGACCAATATTGCCTATGTAATTTTAATTTTTTACATTCATACATTTTTTGTAATATATTTTTATATGCACACACTTTTTCTATAATATTTTTTTATCACTTTTATATGTTTTTAGAGGTTTTTAAGATATTGAGTTTGTTTATTTTGCTTCTAGCTTGGAGTTACATTTGATAATATACGAAGTTACATCATCTTATACTCCAGTTACAAGTTATTATGTGTGGGTTACATCTTGTTATGTGTGAGTTACATCTTGTTATACACGAGTTACATACTTTTATGCGCGAGTTACATGTAATTATGTGTGAGTTATATATAATTATTTGTGATTTTTTACTTATCTTTATCTTGAACTAATTCAATTATAACTGAATTAATTTTTTTCTTTGCCAATTTAATACAAAATTTTATTAATCCACATAAAATAAGTATATTGTATTTCATATTCATACACTGTTTTTCAAATGATAAAAATGAAAGATGTAGCAGGGGTTTATTTCGTGATATAACTCACATACATTAAGATGTAACTCGTGTATATTAAGATGTAACTCGCGTACAATAAGATGTAACTCGTGCAGAAGAAGATGTAACTTCATGATATATTATCATATGTAACTTCAAAATAATTTGTTAAAATTACATAAGCAATATTGGTCTCATTTGATAGATCATGGAAAAAAAAATTGATACAAAATTTATAAAAATCGGATATCAAATAAAAAAGTTATTACAATTTTTAACAATAAAAAAAATAAAAAATAATGGAATGAAACTGCAGCTGCATCATTTTGAATGAAGCTAACGTCGTTTTGCAACCGGGCGCACCATCCTCATGGTGCACCAGTTGCACGGTATAAATTGTCATACTGTGAGGTGTGCTTGCACCACATTGAAATACATACTTCTACTACGTAATATTTGCTACATAATCACTGTATATTGTTATTGTACAATATCTAAGAGAATACATCACTTCTTCCGGAAAACTTGAACACCTTTTTTGCTTACTTGTTTCAAAAAATGATTAACAAGATTCCTTGATGCAAACTTTTTTAGTCTATAAGAAATATACATTGTGATGATAATTTGTATAATACTCCGTAATTGGCATTGGGCATTTATTCAATCGCGCAACGCACGTCGAGAAACTAATACAATTATACACGTAAATAACCTCAGATGCTTGCCTGACTGAACAAAAACAATATCGTTGCAGGATCAAACACATTTTATGGGTATGAATCCTGTGATACAAATATCATACCCAACATTTCATCTCTACTTGCGTTTCTTTATACGACCAAGAGATGAGGGAAGAACCGACGGCCTCTTTTTGGTGAACGCTTTAGTTTTGCTTTCAAGTTCCTCCTCTTCATCCTCTTCATCTTCTTCAACCCTTTCATCATTGGCCTTCGTGTCAATATTTCTTTCTTTAGCATTCAACGTAGCACGCAATTTTTTTTCAATGGGATCGTTTGAACGAACATATTTGGACTCGCGGGGTATTGTAGCACCAATTCCAAGCCTAAGAGAAAGAGAAGTTGTCATGAGGGGGTTCGAACAATGTTTAACGCATTCGAACAGATGCTAACCTAGGAGGTCGGCTCTCTAGAATAGCACCATTTGATTTATCATCCTCCAATGATTTGGACATATTATTAACCCATTGTTCAGCCTGCAGCGTACCAACATTTTGACCATGCAAAAACAAAGCTATAGTTCATTATGGGGTCAACAGGATATCAAAGAAACCACAAAACAAGGAAATGTTGGTTTACATATGGTCATGTGCGGTTGCCAAAAGAGATGGGGACATAAACATAGGGGGTGTTTGGATTTGATTCTTAAAACTGCTTCTGCTCCTTCAGGGAGCAGAAGTTGGAGTGTTTGGGTAAAAGTGCAGAAGTGATTCTGGTGCTCTAATTTACTCCTAGAATCAGTTTTTTTAGAAGTTGGGGGTGACCAGCTTCTGAAAACTGATTCTGATTCTGCTTCTGGTTTAAAAAAGAAGCAGAATCAGAATCAGTTCCAAACACCCCATAGTCAGTACCACTTGAAAAGCATGGAATCTGAAGACTTAAAATAATCACATAGATAAATGCAAAATACAGAGTAACACTGTAAAATCACTTTAAATAACATTTGGCATGACCAGCCAATCAACAGCTTGAAACCCAAATAATGCAAATATGCAATAAAACGATAACAGTATAACCAAGGGGTAAAATCGCTTTAATAACAATTGAGGCACAAAATAGAATGGCCTTACCAATTTGAATCCTCTTTCAAGTTTCACCAATTGAACTGTTGAAGTTGTCTTTGATGCATCTTCAGTAGTCATTGATATTTTTGTGAGATCTAATCAACAAAGGCAACCACAGATGAATTGTTGTCCATATATACAACATTCTCGCCAAACCTCACACATCCAAGAAAATAACAGGAGAAATAAAGTGAAGAAAGCTATATTAGCACCGACACTAAGAATAACAGAGGATTTGGGATTCAGCTCATTAATGTAACTTACTTTCTACTTCGGTAGTAATCAGTACTCGGTGGCGGCTACCAGCTCAAGGGCCGAGTAGTGAGTAGGACCAATTACTCTATGATTACTTGGTCCTATAATAGTAAAAATTTAAAAAATGTTAGCAACTAGCGTAAATCATAAACATATAAAGAAGATACATCACATAACCTGTCATAACTTTCATGTTACATCCTTGATTTATCCTCATAAGAATTCCCACGGTAATTTATTACACTACTATACTAAATCACAAAATCCTAGTAAGATGTCAAAGAAGTAAAGATGACAATCTAATAATTTTAAAACAAAGATTTTGTAATGTTTTTTTCCTTTAATATATTAAAAGTCCCTAATTTTTCCCAAACCCAGTCTTTAGTTTCAATCTTTCAAAATTTGGGGGTAAACGCATTGTAGTACAGGTTTACATATTTTTGTGTGTATTAAAACTACTAAAGTGCCAAACTTTTTTATAGCGAAAAGGCGCACAAAAGCGATGAGGTGGGACTTTGCTTAAAAGCAAAAGCGCTAAGTGAAGCGTAGCTTGCTCACAAAAGGTGATAGTTGTATTAAAATATAAAAATAATATACATAGTGCAAAATTAAGCCAAAAATGCATAACTAGTCATAAAAAGTCATAGCAGTAGTGTGGCATAAAGAAAGAAAATATTCATCACATTTAAGCAAAAAAAATGCATAGTGGGAATACCAATTACATTTATAAAATTTAAAACGATTAAGATAAAAATTACTCCTTTGTCCCAAAAATTGATGATTGCTCTGAAACTTAAGTTTTTTACCCAAAAACATTATATTTCAATAAAAAAATGTTAATTTTCATTGAATTTAGTACTCCGTATATTTTACAAAATACAACACTAATCCTTGTTTAGGGGGCTAATTACAGTTTCTCATATCATTTCTAGCTGAACTTAGATAAATATTAGGTCAAAACTCAAAACTCAGAATAGGCAAAAGTAGAGTAATTTGAGTCACAACAAAGTAATTCACTAAAAATGTAGGTATTTGATGCAGCAAAAGTATAGGTGCCTAACCCGTCAAATTGTTTAGGGGAACTCATTTCCTTATGAACTGTAAATGTGCAGGTTATTGCACAGAAAATTACTCCTGTATTCTCATTACATGCTTTTCAGGGGTGGGATTCAAAAGGATTTCAATTTCAATATTATAATGAATTCATTCCACTTTTGGTCTTATGTCAATTCCACATTTAGTCTTCATCTTTCACTTTGCCCACTTTTGGTATTGAACTAAAGTTTCTTGAGCATTTCTGGTCCTTCTCCAGAGATTTTAACCACTGGAATCATTGTCGGAAGGACCATATCAGGGCCGGTCCCGAGAAAGTGGAGACCCTGTGCAACAATAAAATTTGGGCCTTTTTTCCAAGTTACTACACAAGTAAATTGTGTTAAAACACAATAATTTTGACAGACACTTATAAATATAACTAGCAGCATACGCACTATGTGCGACTGTTGCCCAATATATAAGTAATATAATGAACAAGTCCAGTTTAAGGTAATATAGTTAAATTATGTTAGTAAAAAATTAAAATTAATAACCATGAAAGAAGGTAAAATAGAACTCTCAGTTTTATGTGAATATTATATTGGTTAATAAGTTTATAATTGAACATTAGATGTTTGTGTGAATTCTCATATATCTATAAAAAGTAAATCAAACATTGAATAATATACTTTATAACATTATATACTTTAAAACAGCAAGCATGATTGAAGTATCATTCACTCGAAAAACAAAGGAAAAATAAATTAATATTTTTTATGAAAAAAAGAAAATTTAAGTGATTCTTTAAAACAGGCAATAATTGATGTTTGGTGGTTTCAGACCTGCGTATAACAATAGTTTATTTTAATAACTTATATGAAAAGAAAAATAGAGCATAGTTTTCCTCTGTAATCCTTTACAAGGTACTTAGGCTCAAGTCTCATCAGTCACTTTACTAATGAAAAAACTTCACAATGTCATTAGATGGTAAACCCAAGACTCTACTGTAGTAGTCTTGTTCTGCTTATACATTACATTGATGGAAAACATAAGTTTATAAAATAGTAGGAATAAAGGAATTTGCTGAAAAGCTATTGATATATTAATATGATAATTTCAAATAGTCTTAATTACATTAAAAGCAATCGAGGTATGCCTTTCTTATTTATTAGTATTACATATCCTAATCCTAAATTAGTACAATAGTTACATACTTAAACAACACAACTTCTTCAATAATCATTTTAGATGGCACAAAATCAACAAATAACAACAATGCAACAATTCAACAAACAATTCAACAATTCACTAATTCAACCATTCCCAGTAATTAGCAACTAAATGAATCAAAAAGGCTGAAAATCAATGGACTTACCGCCGTTACCGGACTGTGGAGGGCCAGGAGGCGGGCCGCGGTGGGGCAGTGCAGCAGTGGAGACTGGCACTGTCCGCTGGCGCTTGGTGGCGGAGCCGCGGAGGTTGACGCTCAGTCCTTCGTCAGTTCGTCTTCCTACTTCCGTCTTTCACTCGCGGCTTCAGACCTTCAGTGCTTCAGGGGGAATGCGTGACGCCTCAATGCGCAGGCCGCAGGGCATAAATTTGGAGCAAGTAAGATCTAAGAAGGAAAAGTGGGAAATGGGCTGGGTTATAATACTATTTTTTGGGCCCTTCAAAATTATGGGACCCGTGCGGTTGGGCTGGGCAGCATGGGCCAGCCCTGGACCATATATGGACACAAACACAATAGTCATGGAACAAAATTTATGGACGAATTGTGGAATTAGTGTGATACTCGTATGACCAAAAGTGGAATTTAGAGGCCCTAGACCATATATGGACACAAACACAATAGTCATGGAACAAAATTTGTGGACGAATTGTGTAATTGGTGTGATACTCATGGAACCAAAAGTGGAATTTAGAAGCCGTTTGCCAAACTTTTTCACCAAACACGTAGGTTTTGCTTTCTCGCGCTGAATTGTGTAATAAGCAGAAAAAGTAAGGTTAGAGTTACTTTTCTGGCTGTATAGGCTGAAGTTACGGTAAGGATGACCATTTTAGCTATTTTTACATACTCCCTCTGTCCCAATTTATAAGATACTTTACGGTTTACGATGTTTGACCGCTGATAAAGCAAATTGATCTCTGTCAACACTCAAATTAGTTTTGGAAAATAAATTTTACATATTTAGAAACTACATTAAAACCGCTAAAAAAGCTGCAAAAAATAATTCAAATTTCATAAACTTTTAATATATAAAGTAAAAAATTAAGAGTGATTTATGTTGACCAAGTGAATAGTAAATGTATCTTACAATTTGGGACTGAGGGAGAATAATTTTTTCTTTGTTTTATTAATAAAATATATTTTAAAAATATTTTTCTCTTGAATCAGCAGAATCAGCCAATGCATCTATTTCAGTCAGAACTTCATAAATTGCATCAAATCAGTCGATTTTCGTGCTACCACGGACTCTTATTCTATTATAATACCCCCATTCCGACTCATGTACTAGATAAAGTTGTACAATTGAAAAATCTCACCTAACTAGCTCTTAGATATCTTTTTTTGGTAAAAACAAATACGCGTAGAAAATACTACCTCCGTCCCTTAAAACTTTGTCAAAGTTGACCGACACGGAGAATAATAAAGTAAAAATTGTGTGGTTGAGGTTTGTGCAGAGGAGAGAGAAACCACAAAATAATTGATTAAAAGGGAAAGTGGCAAAGTTTTTTAGGGACGTCCCAAAAAGGAAAGATGACAAAGTTTTAAGAGACGGAAGGAGTAGAAAATAAGGTGTGCAGGAATATTGCTTTTTTGTACGGAGTATTACTTCAACAACAAAAGTCGAGGATGTCTTTACCTGGGAAGAAGTCGGAGTGATTTCAGGACTAGTAAATACTCCCTCCGTCCCGAATTGAATTGCAAACTTTAACCGGCACAAGGAATAAGAAATGACAATAACTGATGCTTGTTTTTTACATTTTTGCCCATCTTTCTAAAAGTAGATGCCTTTAAGTTAATGGGAAAAAAGTAAAAGTAAGTGTAAATTTGTCACTTTATTCTTATTTACTTACCTAAAATAGAAAGTGGAAAATCATTTTTGAACAACCAAAAAAAGAAATTTTGCAAATCAAATTGGGACGGAGGGAGTACGATGTACCCTTAAAACTTTGTCAACTTTCCATTTTTGTATGTCCCATTAACTTTGCCACTTTCTCTTTTAAGTAAAGAATTTGTGATTCCAATTAATTCTCCCTCCTCTGCACAAATCTCTACCACACAGTTTTTATTTTATTAATCCCCGTGTCAGTCAAAGTTTTATGAGAAGGAGGTAGTATTTACTTGCGGCTCAGCGGTTGTGACTGGAAAGAGTCGATTATTTATCGATTATTGACTAATCATTTATGGGGTTATTCCTTCAATATTACTAAATTAAATGTGATTTCCTAAACTATGACCACTTTTACATTTGGATAAAAATGTGACTAAAGTAGTCATATTCATGTCATTGCCATATTTTAATGTGACTATCGCTACCACCGGTGTCACTGTAGCCACCGCCCGTGTCACTGTAGTCACCGCCCGTGTCACTGTGGACACCGCCCGTGTCACGGCCACCGCCCGTGTCACTGTGACCACCGCCCCGACCAGTGACTGCCACCCCCCGCCCCCAACCAGTGACTCCCGCCTCCCTCAGCCAGTGACAGCCCTCACCACCCCAGCCACCTCCCACGCCCCCAGCCACCCCCAAGTTCCCTCCCCAGCCCAACCGCCAGCTCCCCACCCCATCTCCTTGGCCCCAGTCTCATTTCAACAACATCAGTGTAGATGAGGTCAGCAGCTTCAAGCTTTCTGTCTTCATCTGAGGAAAGCAGGAAGAAAGGAATAACACCACCGCACCTCCGCCATCAATGACGGCCCCAAAATCAGAGTCTTCATCCAGGAACACCAAATCAGAACACATGGCCGCTAGACTTCTCTCTCGTCACCACATACAATCGCCGTCGCCGATACTACAGTCCCTGGCCATCAGCATCGCCGGGAAGGAGGAATCCGACCGCCTACATCACTGGTCATCTGCATCGATGGGAAGGGGGATCCGGTCACCTGAATCGTTGTGAAGGACCTTCATCAACGACCTCCTTCGCGCGATTGAAACACGTCCGCTCGCAATCCTCCTTCGCGCGGATGGAACTCGTCGTCCTCAAATCGGAGTCTTCCTCCATGGGAGGGGCGACAAGTGAGCACAACGGAGAAGCTAGGCCTCAAATCGGAGGTTTATTGCACCGGTGATGGAGGCTGCAAGGTCGATTGCGATGAAGCCTTAGGCGGAAGAAAAGAAGACAAGTAGGCGGAACGAGAATAGCGAGACGGAAGAGGCCGGGCCGGGTCGCTTTTATGAAATTTCAAAAAATGTTCGTAGTTTTGTCCAAGAGAAGTTGAGGAGTTATATTGATGTCATTCTTTCATCATTTATTAACTATGAATTAATGAACTAAATAACTAATTAATAAAAGCGTTAAGGAGGTCTACCAGACTCCGTGGCCGTGGTCCACGGAAGTACAGGGCTCCAGCCTCCAGGTGGTGGTGCCGGTCACTCGCGGTCAGCCCGTGCAGTCGTACAACGCTCCAGAAGGATGAGCAGTCAGCGCAGCAGCATTAAAAAGGGACAGGGCGGTAGGCAGTCGTCGCCCAAGCGTCGAAGACTTTCCGGCGGTTCCGCGTTCGTCGATGTTGATGAGATCGTTCTGCTCGGCTGCTTGCTTAAAGTCTCCGACTCGTCTCTGTGTTTCCGTTTCTAACATAATCTGGGCTCCTCCGTTTGCTATTCTTGGGCTGTTCGGCTATTGGGCCTAATAAAAAACTAGCTTACCTCTATTATAAAAGAAATATATTGAGCCTAGAGTTTTCATTTTTTTGGCCTGTGGCCCCCGACCATGCTGACCCTTCCCCATGGCCACCCGGCCCGGCCTGTCTAAAGCAATGTTATTCAGTTAGTTCTCATTTTGTTTGTCTTACATTCTTTTTTGGCGAATTTTGGGTTACCTCAAAATAAATAAAAGTAATGTACAACAATTAACATTTTTTCAAGGTAAAGCACCTGCTAGGAGGGTTTACTTCGTTACTTTAGACGGAGAGGTCTCGCAAAAAAAAGGAAGTGTGTGAGTGCCCTAGTGGCTTAGCGTCGCGTAGGGTTTTGTCTCCCCAGCGGCTTTGTCGTCGCGTAGAGTTTTCTTCTGTCAATTATTTGTGCGGCTCTTCTTCTCTAGGCTTCTAGAGTGCTTTTTAAGGAAGCGTGTGAGTGCGGTTGCACATTTTGGAAACGAATACAAGGTTCAAAAAACGATAATCATGTCTTCAATGTATTATCTAGATTCTAGAGCAGTGTTGTCTCATTCATGCAACTGAGGAGGAGGTCGAAGGGTTAGTTTCTGTAAAATCAACATGGGTAGAGGGCGGTGGTGGTGGTGGAGGCGGAACAAGCGACGAGAAGATAGGGGGAGGTGAAGAGCTGAGTAAGGGAGAAGACAGATCGGCAGTTTTCCCACATGCATCGCTCGAAAACATTAATCGGAGGTGAAATATTGGATCGATGCCTACTAGATATAGAAGAAATTACTTCAAATAGGATTAAAATTATGCCAAAAAATAGGATTTCTAATGTTTTTATTTCAAAATGGTAGTCCTATTTGGAAACGTAGCTACTTTTTCATTCCATTCTTACCCCTTGTTTAAATATGAGTAAAAGGTAGCCAAAATTATAATTAAATGTTTTAATTCATAATAAATTCGGAAAAATAATAAAAATATAAATTAATAAAATATTTATAATAAAAAAATAAAAAAAAAATTAAAAGAAATTAAAATTAATTAAAATATTAAAACTTCATTAAAAAATATGGATGCCTTTCCCGCCGCCTGTATTGCCTCTCTGCACCACCACCACCGACTAGTGTAAAAAATGCCATTTTTTTCTAAAAATGCCAAAAAATGTCATATTACTCTTTGAACGCCAAAACTTTCATTGAATCTGACATAAATATGGCATTCCTGATGCACGTGGACATTTTTCGGTGATCGGAGGTGACGGTGCACGGGTGGCAGAGGCGGCGGTGATTTTTTTTAATTTTTAATTTTTTTTAATAATAAATTTAAAAACAAGTTCGTGTTTTTATTATGACGGGAAGGTCCCAGCATGGCAGTCGAGAGGCATCGAGAGTGTCTAGGGGACAGGGCTGTGCAGGCCACTCGGTGACCGTAAGTGACGGTCATATATGTTGAAACAGTTGATGAGCATTATGAGTCCGAGGAGGATTCAACTTACCGACCGGGAATTGAGTCGGTTGAAACCCCATATGATGGGGATGATGATGACGTTAGTGAAGAGAGCGATGATAATAACGCTCTAGAGAGGATTGAGGAATTGCTCTAGCAGTACCAACAAGATCGTCAAAGGCACTGGGCAAGGTGTGCTTTGGAAGGAGCCTCGAGGAGAGGGAGTCGTGTGAGTTCTAGGGGAAGCATTGAATCCCGAGGAGGTCGAGGTACCGAGGTTCCTATAATAAGGATCTCGAAGTACCTTAAGGAGGCAATAGATTTGGGATGTAAATCGTTTGATGGAACATGAGACATCTCCGTTGCGGTCGAGTGGATCAAAAGATTCAATGAAGCGGCCCTTGATATGCAATTGCCACCAAACATGAAGATGAGAGTGGGAATGAGGTGATGGAAGGAATGACATCCACGTGGTGGGACGAAGTCAAGGGGAAATACGACGAGGTCGTCACTTGAGAGAACTTCCGACAAGAGTTCTTTAGCCAATACTACTCCGACTTTGAAGTGAGCATGAAGAGGATGGAGTACACGAACTTGACCCAAGGAGCGAAATAAACATTTTTATTATTTTTTATTTATTTTTTACAATTTTTTATAATTTTTGATTTTATTATGAATTAAAATATTTCATTAGTTACAAGAGTATATTTGTCCAAAACAGACATAATTAGTCCTATAAAACATAGTTTAGTTTTATGTGCTATTTGTGCAACGTGACAAGCTTTTAGTCCTATATGCATAATTAACTCTAATAGATATCATGAAAATGGAGATTTACCTTAATAGGAACACAATATAGTTTTTCCTCTAAATAGGACTTTTTATACTTCTAGATTTTTTTCCAGATAATCTGCCAACATTTCTCCCGTTGTTCGTTGCCGCAGTGCTGCCACCACTACGGACTGCTCCTTCACCGACGGACTGCCTTGATTATGCAGGGGGAAATTATTTAGATCTATTAATTAATTAAATAAATTTAGGGGTAAAAAAGGTAACATTAATCCTATTTAGGGAAAAAGATTGAGTTTTGGTGTATGTGGTCCTATTTATGAGGTACCGTAACACTCGTCTTCAAAAATCCATTACCAAAAGACAAAGGGCTGTAGTGGACCTAGCGGTAGCATTTCCCATGGCATTAAAGCACCATATATTTTTGGTGAATGATGAAAAAGGAAGGCTAGGGCCCTCAATATGTGTCTCTCTTTTTTTATAATCCAGGTGTCGGGGCTTACGCTCTCATAATCCTGGAGTCTATGAACTAGACCTCCAAAGTTCCTAGACAGTTAAGTCCGGATCTGATCACAGTCAGCCTCGTCAGTACTGGCTCCAAAGGACGAATCCAGCAGGACTTACATCACCTTTCAGGCTGCTCCTCCCACCACACGAACCCGCTACCTTCATTACCATCCTCTCCCTTCTCAGCCGCTGATCAACTCCGAGAAGGTAGGAAGAATCATTGGGAACAAGACCTCTCTCCTCTCCCCTAAATGTGCCTAGCGGGATTCGAACCCGAGACCTCCGCTAGGACACGGTAACCTTCCACCCAGTAGTGAGCTGGAATGGTTGGTTATGTGTCTCTTTTCTTTACCGCTCAATGCTGCTTTGTTTCCTTCATGCAATAATGGATATATCCATTGATGATCCCGAATCCACGTCCCTTTTCCTTGAGATTTTGAGTGGGAAACTCATGCATCTATAGAGTTGGTAACGACCCTCGACTTAGCTCATTTAAAATCAGGACCATCTCTGAAATTTTTGGTACCCTAGACAAATAATAAAACAAGTTATGGTCGTCGAGCAAATAAGACCTGAGATGTTTTTACTTGAATTGTAATTTCTTGGTCTGGTTTCTTTCTATTTTTATAATTATCCAAGTCTGGTTTGGTCTGGTTTACTCTGGTCCGGTCTAGGAGGAATTACAGTCCAAGTAAAAACAACCCTAATGTAGTAATGTGAAACAAAATTAAAATGATGTTTGATGTAATTGGGAAAAATTAAACAGAACGCTACCCAATTACATTGTTCATATAATAATTTAATTGATAAATATTGTGAAGAAAATGCTTAAGAATGAAATAAAGCTCAAATTTTAAAATATATTTTTTAAAACTAAAATTAAGGGAAAAAATTATGAAAAAAAACTCGAAATTGATTATAGATTGGATGTCCATTATTGTTTCAGAATTTGCATGGTTAAGCAGAATTTTATAATACAAAATCATACTCCGGAAATCGAGCATGACACATCTCCAAATATAAAAAACATTAAAAATAATGAAAGAGAATTCATTTATTTGTTTGTACATTTGTAACCGTGTTAAAGAAATTGCTTAACCCAATTTCACTTTTCTCTCAATCTGTATAATGTTAGTCTATTATCTATAACTTAATTCTTTAATTAATTTAATACTACGGGTATATTATTTAATTGAATGTATGAGTATCCAAAAGCTCAAATTCACATTTATTTTTTATTAATTTTTTGACTAATTAGTTATAATAGATGAGATAGTTTAATTTTTACAATGATACCGGCATGTTTATGGTGCTTTTAGCCCCATGCCTAGGTTTCTAGCGTCTAAAACTCGAAAATTGGTTGATTTTTTTATCCATATGTCGGTGTTTGCGCTCCCCTAATTCTATAGTCTATGAACTACTCTCCAAAGCCCCTATACAGTTAAATCCGGATTTGATCATAGTCAGTCTCGTCAGTACTGGCTCCAAAGGACAAATCCAGTAGGGCTTACATCACCATTTAGGTTGCTCCTCCTATCACATGAATCCGCTACCTTTATTACCATCCTCTCCTTTCTCAGCCGCTGAGCAACTCCGTGAAGGTAGGAAGAATCATTGGGAGCAAGACCTCCTTCCTAGGGATGGATTGGGTCGAGCCGAACCGGCCCGGAACTAGACCGGCCCGCTACTGTGCTTTTAGCCCGTTTTGGCGGGTAGGGTGGGCCGGGCTCGGGCCCCATTTTTGTTGAACCGGCTTAGGCGGTTCGGGCCGGGCCCGGGCTTTTTTTTTGTTTTTCAAGTTTTTTCTTTTCCTAGGGTAGGACTGGGTGTTTTGGGAAGGTTTGGGGGTGGGGTGGGGGGGGGGTCGGGGGATAACAAGAAAGCCAAAAAAAAATAAACATTGAACCGGGCCCGGCCCGGCACGATTAGGCCAGGACCCGGTATCAACCTGGGCCGGTTCCGGGCCCAAGTACATGCGAAAAAAGCCCGCCCGGGCCCGGCCCGGAACTGGAATCGGACCGGCTGATAAGTCCATTTTTGTACTTACTTTTCTTATCAAATTTAAGCGATTTTTGGATTGAAAATATAAAAACAAGGCATGTTTTATATATTTTAGTTCAAGTTTCATGAAATGAGGTAAAAATCACATTCATAATATGTTTGGCGAAATTTCGGGTCAATTGCGTGAAGAAAGTGGCATATTTTGCCAACAAATGAATTGCTACGGAAGTTTGCA